GAAGTACTCAGATCTTGTACTTGAGTAAAAGTAGAAGTACTCAGATCTTGTACTTGAGTAAAAGTAGAAGTACTCAGAACTTGTTCTTGAGTAAAAGTAGAAGTACTCAGATCTGGTACTTGAGTAAAAGTAGAAGTACTCAGATCTTGTACTTGAGTAAAAGTAGAAGTACTCAGATCTTGTACTTGAGTAAAAGTAGAAGTACTCAGATCTTGTACTTGAGTAAAAGTAGAAGTACTCAGATCTGGTAATTGAGTAAAAGTAGAAGTACCAGAGTGTAGGAATACTCTGTTTCAGTAAAAGTCCTGCATTCAAAATGTTCCTCAAGTAAAAGTAGAAAAGTATTCTCATCAAAATATAGTTAAAGTAGAGACAGTAAAAGTAGTCATTGTGCAGATTGGTCCATTTCAGAATAATAGATATGATATGTTTTATAATGATTGATCATGAAAGTGTTCTCAAAGCTGGTCAAGGTGCAGCTAGTTTGAATGACTTTGTATACTGCAGGGTAGCTTGTGGATTTACTCCAGGTGGAACTAAAGTCTGATTTAACACTTGATTATATTTCACATCATTCATCCAGATCTGAGAAGTAACTAAAGGTATTAAATAAATGTAGTGGAGGAGAAGTACACCATTTACCTCTGAACTGTAGTGAGGTAGAAGTACAAAGTAGCAACACATTAAAAACACGTACCGGTCTCCTGCGTCTCGTCGCACTCGGCCTTCAGACTCTGGTTGATGTAAACCTCTCCGTTCCTCAGCAGCCACACCACCCCGCTGACCAGCTGCTCAAACGGGTTGGACCGGTCCAGAACGTCCTCCTGAGACAGATACCTGGAGGGAGACATCAGGACGTCACCTCTCCTGACCGATTACCACCACTTTATGTTTCTACTACTATTAACAAGGCGACTTTATAGCCAGAGGAAAAGAAGGAGTTTGAAACACGGTGGTATCCCTTACTGAAGCTCCTTGGAAGCCAAAGCAAATAGCTGCTTGGAAAGGATTGTTATTATTTTATTTGTTCTGGTCTTGTCACCTGGTGTCTTTGTTTTTTGCTACCGGGTTGGTTACGTATTAGTAAGTAAAGTGTTGTATATAATGCATGGGTCGCCAACTCATTTGTACATGTCTTATTCACTTATTGTTAATATCTGTATTTGTGGATGTCATTGTTTGTACTTGTAAAAAATGAAAAACTCAAAAGATATTGTTAAAAAAACGAAAAACAATGCAACTTTAAAATAATCAATGGTTCACAAAAAACCTGTTTTACTTCAATCAGTTCAAAGTGTCTCTTATTCTGAAATACCTGAAACCCAGTTGTGTTGGTTTAGTTATGAAACTCTGTCCTCTGTGATCTCTACACTTATTTTTCTTCTGATAAAGTGACCTCCGCTCGGGGCCTCGCCTTCAATTACCACAGCTGTGTTTACAAACACAACAGCTCCTACTCTCCTCATGTGCATGTTCAACATGTTGTATTCCTTAAAGAGGCCTATTCAAGAGTCAAGGCTTTCATTGGTCATACGAACAAAGCTACAGTGTAGTTATGATAATGACAATCTGAGGTCACAGGCTCCTCCAACAGAGCAACACAATGAAACGGATAAAATAGTGCAAGTAAATACAAATAGAATAGAGTATAAATCGTGCAGAATAGTCTATATACAAGTAATTGGAATATTGATAAATAAGTTGCAAACAGATAAATGTTATGGATGTTCCATTCTGCGTTATAGGGGTGTTCCCTCTGCTAGTGTAGAAGTGTGTTATATTGAGTGCATGTAAATGGTCTGCAGAGGCTAAAATCCCTGTGTTTCTCCACCATTGCTCTTGATTTGAAGATATTGTTTCTACGAAAAGGACACAGCTGTTGATTTAGGCCCCGTCCACACGGAGACGGGTGTTATCCGCTATAGTTCTTTATCGTATGGACGGTTCGTCCACACGAGGCCATAACGGAACCCTCAAACGATTACGCATCCCAAAGTGGGAAGGTCTGGTAACGTAACGGAGGTGATCTTTGGGGCCATAGATCTCGGCCTCCGTTACGGATTGTGTAGCGTCCTTATTGGCGAAGTATGTGGATTTGTTCCCTGGTTTTATTTTGAAAAGTGTTCCCCCTCCCGTCTTGTCTGTTGCTGCTGGTGATTGTGTGCACCTGGCGCCCTGTGTTGTCTCCTCCCCCCTCACCTGTGTCTTGTTGGCTTGATTAGTCTGTGGGTGTTTAGGCTCTGTGTTTCCTGTTAGTGTGAGATCCTTGTGGCTGCTGACTGTGTTCACGGGTAACAGTCATATTGAGGCTGTAAATCACGTGCCCATGATTTAATAAATGCCCACACCGGGTTATATTTGAACCCTCTGCCTCCTTGCTTGGTTGGGCCGCTCAACGGTCAGCATCACATTACGTAACGCTTGCGGCACCGTGTGTACGCCCTAAACGATCATAGCCCCGCCTCTCCTGCTCACCCCCGCGTCATTGCTGATGAGTTTCGACAACAATGGCGGATCACAGGGTTGCGTTCGTACTCCAGACGCTCTGACCATGCTATAGATGTTAGTTCAAAATCTACAGCTCCAACAAGTGGACATGGAGATCTACATGAACTACATGTTGCTAAATCCACCGCGGAGAATAACCAGAAGGGCAACCATGGCAACCATGCTCGGGGGGTCTTATTCGCTGCTTTCGGTGTATTTTGTGGCGGAGGTACAGCGCCACTTAGAGGCCCGGCATATGTACTTCAGCGCCTCCAGCGGGTCGAGCGCTCTCGTGCGGACGGACACGTTTCCTGAGCCGTTTCCGTGTGGATGGAAGACTTCTTGATATCGACTTCGGTTGGTTTTCGTCTCCGTGTGGACGGGGCCTTAAACTCCAAGCTGTGTGTTCAGATAGCATCGACAGAAATCAGATTTTCCACGAAGGAAAACAAAGGATCTCTTTTAGCGCGAGGTGTAAATAAAGCTCTGCCTCACACATTGTGGATGAAGCAATATGAAACGAGAGGTTTGACCCCGGGTGTTTTCCCTGTGTCTGAGGAACGGTGTTTTCAGCCTCGTGGTGTTGCATCACGTAGGAGCTGCAGAGATCACTGACCTCAGGCCCCAAACAAACACGTTCAATTGACTCTTTAAAGACAAAGTGTGTTTGTGTGTTGACCTGACGGGGACATCATAAATACCCAGCTCTATCTTCGGAGAGGATTCATGGAATTACTTTTGAATTATTTCTATATAAAGAAGTTGATTATCTTCTGAAAGCAGGTAAAGGGAAGCTGTTGCTGGAACGCCAAAAATAATACAGGGACTTTTTTAGCCTGTTGGCTCTGAACCTTGTTATTGAGGAATCAAACTGGCTTCACTGGCTCTGCTGACATCATCCATGCAAGACGACATCCCATAATACCCTCCTTTATTGAGCTGCTGTGTGGCTAAACGTTGTCTATCAAAACTGACAAGAATAGTCTTTTCTGGGGAAATATCTGTATATGTGTTTTACTCATATCTGTAGTTATGCAAGTTCAGCTTCACATGCATATCCTATTGTTGTTGGTGTTGGTGTCTTTAGTTATTTACATACTTACTCTCCTTTGTATTCTTACTATCCCTCAGTGATCTCTCGCCTGTGTTTCTCTCTTATTCTGCTTTAACACCTGAACTGTCCTACGGGGGTCAATAAAGATCCATCTTATCTTAAATATGCATCAGGGGTCATGACGGGTGTGAGAGTCTGGCGGTGGATCACTACTCCAGGATACAAAACAGTAATCGCTGGCGGAGCAGAGCGGCGTGGGTAAATGCTGAATAAAAGATGCATTAGCCACGGCACATCAGATTCAGGAAGGATAGTGTAAGTGCAGTCGGATTCCCAAAGCACCGCCGAATCATCTTTCCTTAACTCCGTGACGTTTCTCGCAGAGGTTAAGGAATAGTGGTTAGGGAAAGAGGATAGGAGCTGATTTTTGGACAATTCAACGGCAATACGACTCTCAAGGGAACGAACGAGGCCTCCGACGCTGTAGTTCTCTTTATAAGTCCATGGGCTATTTAAGGTGAATGCTTGTCTTACCCGAACACCAGGGTGCCGTCCCTCCGGATGCCAAACTGAGCGTTCTGCACCCCCCCGCTGTCCCTCACCATGCGGCCGTCGCTCACCACGTTGCCCAGGCACTTTCCAGACTCTGTGTTGAAGAAGCCGGCGTTCTGGGCGTACAGACACCCAGCAGCCCCCGCCGTCTCCTCCACAGAGACCCTCTGCTGCCCCTCACAGCCCCCCGGCTGCCCCGGCTCCAACACCGACAGCTGCATCAGAGGGTCGGGGACCACCGTCATGTGACCTGGAGACACAGGGGCAAAGGAACTAAGTACAAGTACAAACTTGTACTTAAGTACAATTTTGAGGTGATGTACTTTACTTGAGTATTTCCATTTTATGATACTTAGTACTTCTCCTCCACTACATGTATTTAATACCTTTAGTTACTTCTCAGATGTGGATGAATGATGTGAAATCTAATCAAGTGTTGAATCAGACTTTAGTTCCACCTGGAGTAAATCCACCAGCTACCCTGCAGTATACAAAGTCATTCAAACTAGCTACACCTTTACCAGCTTTGAGAACACTTTCATGATCAATCATTATAAAACATATCATATATATTATTCTGAAATGGACCAATCTGCACAATGACTACTTTTACTGTCAATACTTTCACTAGATTTTGATGAGAATACTTTTCTACTTTCACTTGAGGAACATTTTGAATGCAGGACTTTTACTGTAACAGAGTATTCCTACACTCTGGGACTATTACTTTTACTCAAGTACAAGATCTGAGTACTTCTACTTGTGTTAAAGATCTGAGTACTCCCCCCTCTGCTCCTCTCTCAGTTATCTCTTGTAGAAGTGGTTCACCCTGAGTGTTCCTGTTCCTGTTCACTGACCGTAGACCCATCTGGAGCTTCCCGGCACGGCGGACACGAACACGGTGGCCTCGGGGTCCCCCCCGTAGTGTGTGGGGGTCCGGGTCTCGTGGGCGGTGTTTCCCCCAGTGACGGAGAGACAGTCCCTGACGTGGCGGTGCGAGTGGGAGGGGCCGTGCCCCCGGGCGTACGGCCGCAGGGGGTCATCGTCCGGAAAAACGCTGCGGAAAACCAAAAGTTAGACGCAGAGAAGCATTATGGGGTTTCCAGCTGGGAGCCTAAAGATGCTGAGTGGCCAAAGTTTTATATTAGAAATGTAGAGCAGGGTCTCCAGCTCATAGAGCCGGCCGGATGCTAACCTGCATATGATGGGACATTTGCACAATTAGCATCAGTTGAGTTAATTAGCATTAATGCAGACAATAGTTTAAAAAATGGCTTGGCTGATCTACACAGTTTCGTAGTGGATTTGGGGTTATTGAGGATGCTTAATCAATTTCTGACATTTTCAGGATCAAAAATGGCAGTTTTAACCAGGAAGTGGCCATATGTTTACTCTCTGTGGGCTGATTTGATTAATTTTGGGTCGATTTGAAAGTTTTGTTTTAGTTTTGAGTAGGCCTACTTCTACTTTCACTTAAGTACAACATCTGAGTACTTCTTCCACCTTTGAGTAAATGGTAAGAACACACCAGGAGGGTTAACTCTATTAAAGTAAGATGTGATGTGTGTTAGAGAAGGTGTGTAAGTATTACTCAACAGCTCCATCTTGTGAGCACGTGTTGAACCTGCAGCAACATGAACACAAGCTGTCAGTTTCCTTCCAGATTGAAAACACCCAGTCTGGGGTGAACATTTGATACAGGCTTTTTGAGATTATTAAAACAAAGCTAAAGTTAAACACACGGAATGCCATCGCTGAAACCGATATAACAACTCTTTTGATTGGGTTATTCAAATGTGTACATAATATATCTTTATGTTAAGTGAGAGAGGGGACTAAAGGCCTTTTTTGCTTGTGTCAGCTAACATTTGTGAACTTTGTACTTAAACAGTTATCTAAATATTGGGTGCCGTTGCCCAACAGCTGTTAAGTTGTTAGCTTTATTTTGCATACTTGGTACTTTAGCAGGATTATAATTATCTGGATTTACTCCCAAAAAAATAATGATTTTAATGAGCTTACCCCACTCTCACTTGCAACGAATTAAAACTAGTTTTGACCATGTGTGTTAAAAGAAAACTGGATACACCGTTCATTCCTATGACAGCTGCTCAGTGGCGCATGAAACCCAGAGTGGAGCGAACGTAGACTCGGAAAGTGCCCGGATGTGGGCCCACTGAGCATGCGCAGTTGAGTTTCGCCTCTGATCTCCCGCTCTCTGTCAGTCAGATGAATTGAGAGAGAAAATAACTCTGGATTCAACTTTTTAACGCATTTAACAACTTTTAAACCATAATGATTTAAATAAGGTATATACAAGTGTTCGTGCTTGGTGGTTAGTTTAGCTAAAACAAAAATATAGGGTGATTTACAGACGTCTCTTTCCCAATGTAAGTCAATGAGAAAGGTCTTTCTGGGCCAAAATGACGTCACTGCACTGTAGTACCACCCTTTGGCCACTAAGGATATTCCTAACATGGGCTTCAACGGCCGGCGCACTTCCGCTTGTTTTTGACACAAGACTTCTCTCTTTAGGCTAAGAACATTAGCGACTTAAATCGGGACTTACCGGGAGTTTTCGGTCTCCGACTCCCGGACGCAGAGCCACAGCAGCGGCCACAATAACAGATATTTCACCGACACTGCTGCCATATGAGGGGGGAGAACCAGCTGCGAAAAGTCCCCTCTCTAGTTCCTACATCCCTCGACTAGCACTCAGTGAGACAAAATAAGACATAGCTTCCGGTTGCTTTACCATATAAAAGCACGACCGTGTAAGACGATATTATTATTATTATTATTATTAATCATAAAATGTTAAGGTACCACGTCCCTGTTTTATTTTTAAAGTCATAGTATGCGTGTGAAAAATATTAGGTTTTACTAAATACTCAAAATAGGATGAGTCAAACTTAATTAAAAGTTGTATGTCATTTGACTAATTTGTCTCTTTTTACACAGTATTGCATAATTTTAACTTTAAACCTTGAATCATTGACATAAATTGACTCCTAAAATTCTGTTTACCTTTTATTTTGAACACATTTCAACCATTTCCGGTATGTTAGACGTTCTGTAGTAACTTCACGTAATTCGGTCACATGACTGACTTTTGTCTCCACGTGGCACAAAGCCAACTGTTACCTGTCCTTCACCTGCCTCTCACTTACTACTGTTTCATACACGGTACATGTAGAATAATTGTAATAACATTAACATACACAAAAATACTTTATAACAAGTAAAAGTCAGGCAATCATTTTTTGAAGTTTTTGCTGTTGTGTCTCCTTAAGCCCCTTTTCTCAAAATCATCATCAGATTCATAAATTAAACCAGTATTTGTTCATCTTCTCAAACATCCCTCCAGTGTTTTGCAGTCTCTGGATTGCAGTGTTGTTGCTCAGCATGTCATCCGTTGCATGAACACATTGTCTGTCAGTGTCTGTTTGCTGCAGAGGTGGGAAGTAGTGGAGTAAATACTTCAAGGTTCAAGGCTTTTATTTGTCATACGTGCATAGCTATGGTGCAGTTATGTTATGACGATGAAAGTCTCAGGTCACAGGCTCCTCCAACAGAGCAACACAAGAAAACAGATAAACAGTGCAAGTAAATAGTAAATACAAAAGGAAAAAAGAGTGAAAAATAGTGAAAAAAAGTGAAATAGTGCAAGTGATTGGAATGATATATAGCAGAGACACATGGTCATCAGTGAGCTGTGATAAACCACAACAATGGATCTGCCAGCAGAAGGCTTTATCTCTCTCTGTTTAAACACTGCAGTCATACTATACTGGAAACTCTTTGATTGAAGAAAATGAAATACATGTACAGGCCTATAAATGTAAAACTATGGATTGTCGTACTTAAATACAAAAATACAAATAAATACAAATCTCAAACATTTAAAGAGATGTTACCTTGTCAAACTAAAAAAGGAAAAAAATAACATGAATTACATAAACTTTGCATAAAGTCGATACACACAATAATACACAAAAGTTAACTCATATATAATGTGGATTATGGCCACATTCTCAACAAAGTAACGTTATGACTCCCAATATTAATTGAAATGCTTTTACGGATTTAGAAAATGTTTTTATTGATTTAAAAAATAGTTGTATGTATTGATTTAAATTGACATGCATCCGCTAAGAAAAATAGTCCGTTGTTACAGTCTTTTAAACAGTCTGAATGGCAGCTCTCAGCTGTGTATTTACACAACAAATGGCCCATCAACCACAGCTCTCTCCCCCCCTCCCCCCCTGATCTTTCTTCTCCAGCAGCTAAATTAACAGTAGGTTACTCTGAGTGACCATACACTGTATGTGACAAGCTTACAGTTAGTGACGTAACAACACCATAAAAGCTGGTGGGTTGAAAGCAATACGGGAGGTAAAAATAACTAGAATAATTGTGATTTATTTATTGTGGCTTTTATGTTTTTAGGTATAAAATGTTATGTAATTCAGGCTTATAGTTCACCCTTCTCTAAAAGCCTTCAACAATGACAATATTCATTGTAATTTAATAAGTCCTTCCAACACACATTGTAAAAAATAGCCTACTGTAAGTTAAGAAATCATTTCAATATGTACATCTTCTGATGTAACAACAATAACATTATAAATATTAACATAGCTGAACATGGTATTGCACATTTAGCTTTGAGTGTTACTGACCTGAGATGTTTTTATTACATGAATTAAGGTGACTGAGGCTTTTTAACATACAGGGATGCAAACTCATCAGGTATGAAAAAGGTGACAAGGATCCGAGCCCCCGGCTCCCCCACCCCACAGAATAACAGAGGATTTTAGC